AAAAATAATTAAGAACAAAAAAAATTGTTTTAAATTAATACTGATTTTGATTATTAATAAGTTAAAAATAAGGAAAATGACATATTTCACCTATTTTTTTAATCGTTTGAAGTTGATTGTTGTAAATGTTTATAATAAAAAAAAAAAATGTATTTTACCATAACTTTGAGCTCAATTAGTAAGTTTGACATTGACATCATTAAATAGANAAAAAAAAAAATTTATTTTACCATAACTTTTAGCTCAATTGGTAAGTTTGACATTGACATAATTAAATAGAAAATTTTATGACAATTAAAAAAATTGTATCGTTAAGATCAATATGCAGTCAGAAAGTTTTATAATTACTATTTATTGTAAATTTATCAGAAAAGCTCAATATTTTTTTGCATTTTTATGGTAATAGATAACTTAAATAGAAGTAATAGTAATAATTTCCTAGTAACTTTTGTTGTTTGTAGAAAAGATTCTACAATTGAAATATTCAGAACTTAATTAATTTTAATGATTTACTTTAACTAAATGTACCAATCAAAACAAAGTTGTTAAGAAGATTTACTCAATTGAGCATATTATAAAATTTTTATTATATTTGAAAAAATCAATTGTTAATTCAGGAGAAAAAACATCATTTTTTTTAGAAATGATTTATTAGCAGCATGTTACAAAAAAATTTGTAATATTATAGTCTAGTAGTAGCACACACAATTAGAGTAAAAAAATTATTAAATTACAAAGAATAGCTATGGCAAAGAAATTATTTATGCAAAAACGGCAGCTACTTACAAACTAAAAACTTAATATAAAGATGAGATAAAATTTTGTCAAATGCTATGTATGGAGCGTACTACAATATGGCTGTGAAACATGGACCATCAATGGACAAGACAAGAAGAAGTTGGAAGCTATGGAAATGTGGACACGGAGAAGGTTGCTGAAAGTCAGCTGGACAGAAATGAAAAGTAACGTAGATATATTAAACCAAGTAGGGGAAAAAAGAATTCTGTTAAACGTCATAAAAGAAAGAAGTGGAAAAATGTTCGGTCATTTATTAAGGCACAATTCGTTTATAACAAATATATTTGAAGGACGAATAAATGGACACAAAGGTAGAAGTAAACCGAGGAGAGCATATATAGAAGAAATGATAAGACAAGTAGACTGTAGTCGATACATAGACATGAAAAGACTGGCTTTTAACAGAAAAGAATGGAGATCCAGATTTGCAACGACAAGGCAAGGTCTTCTCAAAGTAGAGAAGAATTGATATATTCAGAACTTATTTAATTTTAATGATTTGCTTTAATTATATGAACCAATCAAAACTAAGTTGTTAAAAATATTTACTCAATTGAGCATATTATAAAATTTGATTATAATTGTAAAAATCCATTTTGAATTCAAGAGAAATTAACTATCATTTTTTTTAGAAATGATTTATATAGCAACATGTTTCCAAAAAATTTGGATTATTATAATCTAGTAGTAGCACACACAAATAGAGTAAAAAAATTATTAAATTACAAAGTAAAATGATTTAATTTTGTATTTGAAACCTATCATATCAAACTTCATTCGTTAATAAATATTTTGAAAACATTAGAAATTAATGATTTTAATTGTCTTTATGGAGAACATGTAATAACTAACTGTTTAATTGATAAATTAGAATTTTTTTTCAATTTTTGAGGATAATATCTTCAACTAGATACGAATTGTAGTAATTTGACGAATCGTTGAAAAAAGTAGGTCAAGTTAGAGCGGAGAAAATAAATGATAGTCACAAAAATATATTTTCTCAGCTTTGCATCGAAGCTAAAACTTAAAATATAGTAAAATAATTTTAATACGAATAAGAAATTTCTTTTTACAAGGGGCGACTAAAATTATGGGATCCTTGATATTTATTGAAGTTATTGAATCTAAATGAGATAAAAATCAAACGAGTTAAAAATTTATACTAACTTAGAAATAATTAAGAAAAAACGCAAAAAATGCATTGCCTAAGGGGGGTTGGAACCTCGTACCCCAAACGTGTAACACATAAGTTTTATTTAAGGCTATTTAAGCTAGTTCAAATTTCAAAGTTATTTTTCTCGATTTAAAAGAAGCTAACAAATTTAAATAAGTTTAACTTTCTATGCTATATTAATTTTTTATTTATATAATATTTATGAAAATCTGTACTCCCATTTTCAGGTATTTTAAAATAAAATAAAATACAAAACCCAGAATTTTAACATAAAACTAGCAAACTTTTGAATATGGTAGTCATTTTACCATGAAGACAAATCCAGAGGTCAAATTTTTTTTTTTCATTTTATAGCACATAAAATAAGCTTTAATTTGATATATGTTTAAAGGACGCAGTATTTCCGGAACATTCTCAAAAATTAAGTTGAAAAAGTTAGCTTTTGTAAAAAAGTTGCTATTTTAAATATCCCCCCCCATGAGCAAGTTAAGTGTAAGATTTTCAAAAAAATGAAATCAAATGAAAGGGAAATATCTAAGGTTTTAGTATAAAAAAAAATTATGTTGATTTGTTTATTTTTGAAAAAGTTATGGAAGTTTTAAGAAAAAAAAGTGAAAAAAATAACAAAATTTACCGATTTTTAAATTTGTAATTTTTTTGAATATTTCTCCCATTTGCAGGGAATGAGGCAATATTTTTCAATTTTTAAGGGTAATGTTTCAATTAGATACATTTGTGATCTTTTGACGTATTGTTGAAGGATCATCATGGTAAAATTAATATCTTCTCAGCTTCGCATCGAAGCTAAAACTTTTTCTGATATCCCCAACTTATTTATTTTCGTGTTAGCGGTCTAATAAATATAATTCGGTTATAATAAAAAATTTTTTTTACTATTTTCGGGGTAATAATTAATTAAAATAATTGCCAAACTACTTTTTTCTTTCTTTGTTAAATAATAAAAAAGAAAAAAAATTGTGTAGTTGGGTACTTTTTATTATTTCCGCTCCGACGAATATTGGGTAACTTATTTATTTCCGTGGGTACGGTTTAATAAAATCGGTTTTTTATACTTTTGCGGTAATAAATAAGTTAAAAATGATCTAACTAGTTTTCTGTTAGTACTTTAACATATTTCCGCGGTATTATTCGGCTCCAAACTTATTTATTTCTGTAATGGCAGATTAATAAATACAATTCGGCTGTTTACATTTTTTTATATGTTTACGAGATACGGTAATTTCTCGAATAACGCCGTCCGTTATATATAAAATTTTCTTAAAAATAAACTTATTTATTTTCATAAGTTAAATGAAGTCAGTGGTTTCGCTAATTTTTTTGTTCTCGCGGTACGGTAACGTAAGCGCGTGTCGCCGGCCGTCACAAAAAATTTAGTACACTGAACAAAAAAAACTAAAATGGCAAAAAAAATGTTTTAAACATTCACAAATTAGTCCTTGAAAAAGTATGTTTGTTCAGTCGACTGCGCCAGTTGTTTTAGACTACAAATTAGAAATAAAATAAAGTTAATACTAATTTTATTTTATAACGGATAAGATCTCATTCATCTAATAATAATAATAATAATCAATAAAAAATAAAACATGCTTCTATTGTAAATAAAACATATATTATGCATTTTACTTACACTAGTGTAAATACAACGACACTTTGAATTACAGACTGATCAGCGGCCGCCGGACTTGATTCGTATTTATGTCAACGTCGACGGTCGCCGATAAACGATAAGACATCTCGGGTTTTGTTAATGTGCAATTTGGGGAAGCACAGCACGGCCGGTGTATTACCCTTTTTTTTCCCCCTCGACTGGCTTTATTGTGGGCCGCCCTGGAATTACCGTGAGGCATTACTTCAGGCCGACTTAATAATTCACACCACTACGTTGTGAATCAGCTCGAAATTAATCAAGAGCTGTTTCGCAACGTGGTGAGGTCGCCTCCCGTTAACCGGATCTCAAAGTAGGAACCGTTAGGGAGGGTTGGCAAAATCACTCACAAACAAAGACACAAAAGTAAGAACAAGAATCTAAAGCACCGGCTTAAAGCAGCGCCATAGGTCCTCCTGTGCCGGGTGGCGTGGCTGCTTCTGTCTCAGGCATTCCGTTTCCTCCTTCTTTAACAGGACGGATTCGGCGAACGCCTGGACGAGCCTCCACGCCTCCCGACTTCTCAACATCAGGTCCACCATGGACCAGACTCGGAACGTGGACCCTATTTGACACTCCAAAGAGTCCTGCTCCTGGGCCCACACCTCGCACCGGAAAAGGGTGTGCAGAACGCTGTCAGCCTCTCCTGGGCGATCCGAACAGAAGTTGCACGTCGGCGCGGCTGTTTTACGAATACGGTGTAAGTATTAGGGTGTATTACCCTCTAGATATCCAAATCAGTCCGATAGTAATACAATTTTTATTAAAAAAAATGTGTTCAATATTATAAATATATTCATAAATATAATTTAAAATTTTATATTATGAACCTTAAAAACCTACTTCTAATTAGGTGACTAATAATTTTGTTCAATACTTAAACAACGTTTAAAATAACTACTAAGAAAATCATTATAATTTCTTTGATTGTATAGAAACGCATACAGATAAAAATAAAATAATTCTAATGTGGTGAAAATATTGTTTTGTAATTGATGAAATCAAATATTTCTCATATATAACGAATGTTATGTTAATTTGATAAATTATTTATTTATTTAGTAACGCCAATCGGCTTTTTTGAAAAGATACAATAAACATACAGTATATAGTAAAAGTAACAGTGAAATAATTTAACAAATGTAAAAATAATAATAAGTGTATCTCCGTACAAAGCTAAAGATTATCATTATATTCACGCATAAGCTTAATTAAGGGTGCATTTTTAGCAAAATTGGAGCTGCTTAGAGGTAAATAAAATTGACACTGAAACCTAGTATTAAAGGGTACAAGAATATCAAGTTGTTCTAGTAAACGTAGGGCATCAATATCACCATTTAATAATCTATCGATAAAATATTTACCGAATTTTACACGTCTATATTCTAAGGACTCAAGATTAAGAAATTCGTTTATGGGACCGTAATCGTGGACTGGGTGTGCAATATTCAGGGTATAACCAGCGAAACCTAGAAATCTATTTTGAACCTTAGTAATTCGGCGTTTGTCAACTGCTGTGTAGGGTGACCAGATCAATGTTCCATATTGTAAAGTCGATCTAACAAGAGAACTATATAGAGCAACTAAACAATTACAAGATTTGAAATTTGAAAAATTACGACGAATAAATCCTAACACACGCAGAGCTTTACCAACTATGAAGTCAATATGTGGTCTAGAGTCTAGCGAAGGAACAAAAACAATACCTAAGTCATTTACTTGAGAGACACGTTTTAACTGTATTCTGTCAAGACAGTAATTGTGACTTATCATTTCACGAGTTTGGTAAAAGGACATGACTTTACATTTATCAACGTTATGAGATAAACCGACTGTCTTACACCAGATGACAAATTGATCTAAGACTTTTTGGAGAGTCAAACAATCATCACTCTTAGAAATTTTAAAGAATATTTTAGCATCGTCATCAAAAAGTAATATACGACATGGAGAGACAACAGAAAAAATACCATTTATAAAAATATTAAAAAATAACGGACCTAAATGACTACCTTGACGTACTCCACTAGGAGTAGGAAACATATTAGATGAATTGCCAAATAAATGGACAAACTGACTTCTTCCACTTAAGTATGATTTAATCCAAGACAAAAAGGTTCACCGACTCCTAATCGGTCTAAGATGAAAACTAAAATATTATGATTAATGGAGTCAAAAGCTTTACAAAAATCTGTATAAATTACATCAACTTGTAATTTAGATTCTAATACTTCATGGATATAGGACATAAAGTCAAGAGAACTAGTAATAGTGGAGCGTTTAGGGAAAAAACCATGTTGATCGACTGATAAAATTGATAAAAATTTTTGCTGAATATGTTTTAAAACAATTGACTCAAACAGATAAAAATAAAATAATTCTAATATGGTGAAAATATTGTTTTGTAATTGATGAAATCAAATATTTCTCATATATAACGAATATTATATTAATTTGATAAATTATCAGATCAGATAATTATCAATGATGATTCTCCATTTTCTAAACTAAATACTCGTAATTTTATGTTAATAGATTCTATGTTTTTTATGATTTTAACGTATATGATAAAAATTAGAAGAGGGTGGGGCAATTTAAAACCATTAAGTTTTAATTGAATTTCTTAAATAAAGTATTCTCCATAAAAACTTAAAGTTTAGTAAAAGTACTACTTGATACATTGACATATAACCATTGACACCAATGGTAAAAAGATCATTATTTAATTTTAATTATTTTAGAAATTAAAATTAGTTCCAAAATAAAATTAAAGTCATTTTTCCCAAGTCTGGGGCAATATTTCTAATGGTGCAAATCGACATACCTTAACTTAATCTAGGTTATGCTGGAAAATGTATTGATTTCTATTACTCAATGAAGAGAATCATCTGCCGTGTCCCTAAGGAATTTGGATGTATTATACAATTTTTTAATTGGATTACCGATTATTTAAAAAAAAATTTACGAATATTTAAATAAGAGGAAATCGATTTGTTTATTCCCTATAGTATGCTCCTGGATAATTATTAGGTTCATTTTTTTCAATAATTCAGCAAGTACAACTAATTGTAAGCAAATTATATTTATTTATGTGAAATTTCACATAAAAAAAAACAAAAAAACAACTCTTCCTTCTCATTATTGATCAAATATCCTATCCAAGTTCTACCCAAATTTGAATAAGACGTAAAATGTTAAATACATTGTATTCATGATATTTACTGAGATTTTCGAATAATTTTTCATTATTTGGTTTATATGTTTAAAAATATATCCATAAAATTTGCAAACATTAGTATATTTTTTAAATCATCAACTTTTCGCATATATATATATATAATATATATATTATATATATATAGTATATATATGTGTATACATATTATAGACATGATGATTATTTAAATCTATTAATGTAAACCTAAAAAATATATATGTATACATGTATGTGTTAATAAATATATTTTTAAAATATAATACAGGGATGCGAGTATAATAGATGGATCAATATGTAAGCATGTGTATTTTATGAATGTTTATTACTGAGAAATACAATATTATATTCAAAAATAATTCCGTCACTTATTGCTCTATTCCTATTTATGATATTTTTTAAATAAAATTATTATTTCACATTTGCCATTATTTTCTGTCATTATCGAAAGTAAATAATGAGTAATGTAATATACAAATTTTATAGCAGAGTTAATTTTATTAAAAAAACAGTACTAAATTATGATAAAAGTTAAAAAAGATGTTATAAGAAATAAATTCTAAAATAAAAAAAAATTTACCTATAATTTGGCTGTGTTAAATTATTTAATAATTATACGTTTAAAATACCTGCTATTTTTGTTAATATAGAACAATTCTTTATATCACCTTGAAAAAATTGTGTATTATACGTATTATTAATGATTAATATTAAAGATGTTATTGTTATGTGCAACTCTTTAATATTAAAAGGAAGATTACCTGCTACTTGTGTGATAGGATGTTTGTATTAGAAGGAATGGAAGAGAAAACGGGAAAGGGGAAATTTTTATAAACTACTGAATCACTGTTGAAAAACACAAACATGAGCGCAACCCTATCTCAAGTCTTACCAAACGAATGGTGATAAGGCTTCACTGATGTATTGGTAGTAAAAGTAATCAAAAATTATAAGCGGTGTATTAATCGAACGATTAACGTGTTAATATGTGAGAGAAGTGAGCACATTTGTGTAAAGACTAGTCGAAAAAATATTTAAATAAAAAAACTAAAAAACACGCTTTTAAAGCACATCGAACTAAAAAGTAAAAAATAATTTTTAAAATTAACTTAAAACAATAATGAACGAAAAATACTAGTATTATTGCGAAAAAAAGCATCGGGCTCTTAATATATAAAAAATATTGCACAAAGTACCCACGCTTTTTTTCACAATAATACTAGTATTTTTCTTTCATTATTGTTTTAAGTTAATTTTAAAAATTATTTTTAACTTTTTATTTCAATGTGCTTTAAAAGCGTGTTTTTTTAGTTTTTTTAAACTATATTTATTTTGCACTTTTTAGTTTCATGTTATCATAGTAGTTACTATCAATATCATGGTTGTAACGGGTAACGGGAAATCAGGGTTCGTTCCAGGGAGGGAATCTGAGAAACGGCTACCACGTCCAAGGAAAGCAGCAGACACGCAACGGGGAGGTAGTAACAAAAATGACGATATGGGAATCATTCCTCGTAATCGGAATGAATACTTTATATCTCTTTATTAGAATAAATCGTGTTAACATATAAATTTTAATAGTAATTAGAATACATATATATATATATATATAAATAATGCGACTTATGTACGTAAACGTATCATGCGCTAGGTATAGCCTTGTTTTGTGGGAGGGCGGTCGGGACTAACGTCATAAGTGAGGCATAAACGGCGCTAGGAATTAATACGTAAGCCGTATGACACGCGGATGGTATTGGTCAGTCAAAATAAAAATTTGTTTATATACATGTAAAAACGAACCAAAAAAAATTTCACGTCAATCAGACAAGTTGAACCCGTGCCTACTGTTAGAATAGTAGAAAACTCTGAGATTAAAATTAACGTAGGTTACTTAAAATAAAGTTTAATTATAAATTATGCGTTACATTTTGAAGATTTATTTTATAGAGATTTCAAATTAATAAAAAAAAATGAGTTTTATTAAATTAAGATTCTTAAAATAATAGAAAATTTTAGTGTGTTGGAAATATAAAAGATTTAAATGTATAAATGTTGAAATTTTTTTATTAAATAAGAATAAAGTATACATCATTAATAAAATCGTGATAAAAATATAATCTCAGGGGTTTCAAAGCTACTAGTTGGGCGCCACTTGTAATAAACCAAAAATAAAACGAAAGACCAAAGAAATGAATATAATAGAAATGGTTAAGTTAAATATAAAAATACATTTTGGTGGCTACTTTTAAATTATTATAATTATTATTTATTATAAGTTTTTGTAATTTGAATGTCTTCAATTTTATTTAAATTAATTTTCTCATTAATTGTTTCTCTCATTAATTATTAATGGTTTATCACGCAATAGATTGTTGGAAGTTCGAAAGCATAGGTTAAATTGTACTTACCTTACGTCCTGTGTAATAAAATAATTTTAAAAAGATGTAATGTTTAAAATATTATTTGATGTTTATTTTCATAACAAGAAAAATAAAATATTATTAATGATTGAACAAATTAAATTAAATTAAAAGATTCGCCTAAACAAAATTTACTTTAAAATTTCTAAGTGTCATTTAGTTTTAGAGAAAATTATTCTAAGTCCAAATTAATTAAAAAATCGACTAAGTCCCAGAGAGTGAAATCTTGAGTAGAGCATCGTAGATTTTGTGTATTTTAAAATCGTCAAAAGAACTGGTTTAGATGGGGAAAAATGGCTTTATATAGTGTGAAGGGGGTAGCCCAGCGATCTCTACCGTGATCCTAGAAGCTGAGGCTTTCTATTGTAATTGGTTAATTAAAAGAGGGTCCTTGAGTGTAGGCGTTACTTAATAATTTCTACAAGAGGGAGATTTTATTGTATAATTAAAGAGTTATTTTGTATCTTAAATAAGAGAACCCTGTTTTGGTGATCTTGTATAATCATGATATGTGACATACATGTACAAATGATAACATCATATTATATGTAATAATATAATATTACACTACTTGGGTTTGAAAATTGGACAATAGGGGTAGTTTTCTAGTGGTTTGTACTTAATGCGGAAATGAGCGATCATAGAAAAAAAATTATAGAATATAAATTGTTGACAATGTTATGGACTATAAGTTTAATTCTTACACATTTTTTTTAAACTCATTAGTTTTTGAGCAAAATTTAAAATTATACTATATTTTATCGATTTGCCGAAATTGGAATATTTACGAATACTACATTATATTTGACAAACATTTAGAGATACGAATACATCTTTTATACAAAAATCGTTTATTATTTAATTATTAACAATTTCTGCACAAAACCGTGGTGTGGGTTAAGCACCCCCTCCCCCAAATTAAAAATACACAGTTGAAAAAAAGTTGCTGATGTTACAAATGTATAAATTATGCTAATTGTTTTTTTCAGTTTCAAAATTCTTTACATCATAATAAAGTTGATTTTTTCCTGTAGGGATACTTATTTTTATAATTCTTGACAAATTGTAATAAATACTGTTTTTGATTTTCATCATTGGTTAAAATTCTGTTGTACTCTGTTATAAGCTGTACAGTGTAAAAAAAATATTGATTAATTCGATACATCAAACAGTTATAACAACATTTATGTATATTTACTAACGCAATATTTTAGCCTAGATGAGAAGTTGAGAAGGTATTAATTTTACTATTATGAAAAATATACAAATTTTTAAAATGAAACATTTTTTTCGTCAAATAAGAATGTTTTTATCTTTTTCTATATGCGTTACTCTACTACTAAAGAAATTGTGATGGTATTAATTTTAATACCATTAAAATTTTAAAATTACAAAGTTAATTATAAAAA